AATTTACATAGTTTCACATAAACTCATAAAATATTTATTAATTACAAAGGAAAAACTTGTGACATTTGAGTGGTAGTTTGGCAAATAACACCTTAACTTAGTGATTGAAATGATCACTACTACTGGGACAAATGTAAATAGCGCACCACCAAATAGGACTCAAAGAGAATATAGCATAAATTCTGTGATATTCTTGCTAAAGAGGCAAAACCTGAATCATATGAAGAAATATTGGACAGATCTAAGTTGAGGAACATTTAATAAAAGAATTAGCTTATGAAATTCAGATTCATTGGATCATAAAAGTTAAGGAATAACTGAAGAATTGTTTGAAGTTGGAGGTGACTAAAGAAACTTGAAAACTAAATGGAACACGTGATTCTGAATTGAATTATCTGGCTTTAAAAGACATTGAAAAGTTTGGAATGAATTTTGAATCTTAGATAGTAACATGTCAATGTATATTGCCTAACTTGATGGTTGTATTAAGGTTGACAAGTAGAATATAGCATTTTGTACATAATATATAGAAAAGGATTTTTACTGATAGGGTATTAGGTATACAACATACTTTCAAATGGTTCATAAACAGAATAGTGCTATATTTGCAATCTATTTTGTACATTTGAGAAGTTTTTAAAACAAAACTTCCAATTATTTTATGAACTTTAAAAAAATGTGTCTTCCCTTGTAACAAATATATGCCTTTTATTTTTTAAAAAAACTCAAATATATATATTTGAAAATATCGTTTATAGACATCATTTCTATATACTATATATTATATGTAAATATTATTCATAAAAATATGTATCATCTTATATATGCCAAGATAATTTTAGCGTATATATAACACAATAGTCTCATTGTTTTAACATTGTTAGATAGAAAGAGGGATGTAAAAATTTATTTTTAAATGGTGGGAACCATATCTAGATATATCACAGTAAATTTCATATCACTTAAGACAAAGAGAACATTTTTAGAAGAAGCCAGAGGAAAAGTTATCTTTCGATTAGGGATTAGATTAACACAAACTCCTAAACAGTAACACTGTAAGGAAGAGAAGAGAAACAATCCTAATTAGGTGTATCTTATAAAGGATGATAGAAAATAAAGCCCAATCTAGCAAATTAAACTGTAAACCAGGTAGGTAAATCTGAAAATATGGTAACTGTATGAAAAAAATATATATCTAATTGTTTTGTGATTTATATGATTTGTTTCTGTGTCCTCACCCAAATATCATGTTGACTTTAATCCCCATTATTGGGGGAGAGACCTGGTGGTAGGTGATTGGAACATGGGGATGGATTTCTCCCTTGCTGTTCTCATAATAGTGAGCGAGTTCTCACAGGATCTGATTTTTTAAAACTGTGTAGCACTTTCTCCTTTTCTCTCTCTCTTTCCGGCCATGTGAAGATGCGCTTGCTTCCCCTTCACCTTATATCATGATTGCAAATTTCCTGAGGCCTCCCTACCCATGCCTCCTGTACAGCCTGTGGAACCATGAGTCAATTAAACCTTTTTTATTTATAAATTACTCAGTCTCCAGTAGTTCTTTGTAGCAGGGTGAGAAAGGACTAATACAGAAAATTGGTACCAGAAAAGTGTGGCATTACTATAAAGATACCTGAAAATATGGAAGCAAATTTGGAACCAGGAAATAGGCAGAGCTGGAACATTTTGAAGGGCTCAGTAGACACAAAGATGAAGGAAAATTTAGAACTTCCTAAAAAACTTGTATGTTTATGGCCAAAATGCTGATAGTGATATGGACAGTGAAGTCCAGGCTGATGAGGCTTCAGTTGGATATGAGGAACCTACTGGGAACTGGAGTAAAATTCACTCTTGCTATGCTTTTGCAGAGACTGGTGGCACTGTGATCCTCTTCTAGGGATCTGTAGAACTTTGAACTTGAGAGAGATGATATAGGGTATCTGGCAGAAGAAATTTCTGAGCAGCAAAGCATTCAACAATTAGCCTTGCTACTTCTAACAGCTTATACTCATATGCAATTGCAAAGAGATGGTCTAAAATGGAAACTTACATATAAAAGTGAAACAGAGCATAAAAGCTTGGAAAATGTGCAGCCTGATCATGTGGTGGAAAATAAAAACTCATTTTCTTGGGAGGAATTCGAGGCTGCAGAAATTTGCGTATGTAAAGAGGAGCCAAATATTAGTAGCCCAGACAATGGGGAAAATACCTCCAGGCATTTCAGATACCTTTGTTTTAGCCCTTCCTATGACAGGCCTGGAGACCTAGAAGGGAAAATTTGCTTTGTAGGCCAAGCCCAGGGCCTTGCTGCTGCTCTGTGCAGCCTCAGGACATGGTGCCCTGCATCCCAGCCACTCCAGCTCCAGTGGTAGCTAAAAGAGGCCAAAGTACAGTTTGAGCTATTTCTTCAGGGGGAACAAACCCCAAGCCTTGACAGCTTCCACATAGTTTGGGGCCTGTGGGTATGCAGAAGGCAAGAGTTGAGGCTTGGGTGCCTCTGGCTAGATTTCAAAGGATGTAAAAATGCCTGGATGTCTAGGCAGGAGTTTGTTGCAGGGGTAGAGCCCTCATGTAAAACTTCTACTAGGGCTGTGCAAAGGGTAAATGTGGCAGTGAAGACCCCACACAGAGTCCCCACCAGGTCACTGCCTAGTGGAGCTATGAGAAGAGGGCCACCATTCTCCAGACCCCAGAATGGTAGACCCACTGACTGATTGCACTGTGTTCCTGGAAAAGCTGCAGGCACTCAACACCAGCCTGCAAGAGCAGCCGTGCCCGCTGTATCCCACAGAGCCAGAGGGGTGGGGATGCCCAAGACCTTGGGAGCCTACCTCTTGCATCAGCCTGACCTGGACGTGAGACAAGGAGTCAAGGCAGATTATTTTCAAGCTTTAAGATTTCATGACTGCCTTGCTGGCTTTCAGAGTTGCGCGGGGACTGTAGCCCCTTTGTTTTGACAAATTCATCCCTTTTGGAATGGGAGCATTTACCTAATGTCTTTCCCCCATTGTATCTTGAAAGTAATTAATTGCCTTTGATTTTACAGGCTTGTATGTGGAAGGTACTTATCTTGTCTCAAATGAGACTTAGGAATTGAACTTTTGAGTTAATGCCAGAATAAGTTAAGACTTTGGGGGATTATTGGGAAGGCATTATTTTGAACGGTGAGAAGCCATGAGGTTTGGAAGGGGCCAAAGGCAGAATGATATGACTTGGCTCTGTGTCCCCACCTAGATCTCATGTCGAATTGCAATCCCCAGTGTTTGGGGAGGAATCTGGGGGAGGTGATTGAATCGTGGGGGCAGATTTATTCTTTGTTGTTCTCATGATAGTGAGTAAATTATCATGAGATCTTGTTGTTTAGAAGTGTGTAACACTCCCCACTCTGCTGTGTCTCCTTCTGGCCATGTGAAGATGTGCTTGCTTCCCTTTTGCCATATGCTATGATTGTAAGTTTCCTGAGACTTCCGCAGCAATGCCTCCTGTACAGCCTGTGGAACTGCGAGTCAATGAAACCTCTTTCTTTATAAATTATGCAGTCTCAGATAGTTTTTTTTCTAGCAGGGTGAGAATAGGTTAATACAGTGATAACAATTAATATAACAAAAATATAGGGGGCAAAATTGTAAAAATGTCACAATTTCAAGATTTAATTTACTCTTTCTTATATTTATGAATTATTTTTCTGAAGCATAAATTAATATAAATCAGGCTTTAAAATTCCATCACTGAATAGGTCTTTTATTCTTGATTGTTAACTTAGAATCTGTTGTGTGCCTGGTACTGCTATATTTTTGGTTTCAATTTTCTAAGAAGAAATAATTAATAAACATTATTTATTGCTTCTCATTTTAACTGTGTGTAATGTGAGATAGGAAGAAATAATGTTGTAGTTTCTTAGTTAACTTTTACTTTCTACTAATTATTTTACTATGTGTATCTTTTCTAAATTCTCTTTTCTTCATTTTAAATTTCAAGGTAATTTACATGTGTCATAACATCAACTTTTGTAAGTATTACCAAATGTGTACTTATTATTAAAGGTAAAATTTAAAAAATCATATTGAGGCATTTTTTCTAGAGGCTTTAATATTATTGTAGGCCTTATATTGCATGAATTGTAGAATTCTTAAAGCAATTTGATGGTAAAATGTATAATTTAAAACAAAAATAGACTGCATTTAATTTTTGTTCCCAAAAGGTATGCTAAATTAAACAGATTGTATATATTCTGCAGATTGTTTTCTATTCGAAATATCATTTGGTATGTTTGGTAAGGGGAAAGCATGATGTTTCAAGAGAAGGACTACACAGGAAGTTTTCTCTCTTTTAAATTATTTAAGCAACTTTCAAATTCGGTGCAATCATAAGGCGTTTACAAAGAACCTCAAATGCATTAAGAGCTCATTGAGTGGTTAGATTGCATAGTGGTTGCAAATTAAGCAACTTGAAAGCCATGTTTAATCCTCCAGGATATCATATAGAGAAACTGAACAAATATGCACTTTCCAAATAATCCCCTAGTGACCCAAAATGTTAAATGTGGGGTTTCATGAAGGAAGAAAATTGTATACTCACTTTCAGTTCAATAATTATTTTACTGAAAAATTTGTAATGTAAGTGGAAGGTTTTGTTTACATATAAAATGCAAATTATATATTATTTACATTACTACATTATGTAAATACCAGGAACCAGGAAACTATTACAGAAAGTAAATGCCTTTTAATCACTAAAGACATAAAATAAAACTATGGACCAATTATTTTTTTCCATGTACAAAAACACAGAATAATTCAGAATTATCTCAAAAGAAGTAAGAAGTATTCTAAACAGGCCACAAAGTTCAGAATTCACTGCTAAACAAAATTATATATTATCCTCAAAAATTCATATTACAGTGCTAACTTGATAATGGTGAACAGTAAGTATTAGTGAATATTAGACTAAAACACTTTCTAACAATTCAAGTCTCATGATACTGAAATCGGCTTTCTTACCTGAAAATCAGTTTTATCTCCCAGAAAGTAAAGAAGGAATACATAATCACCCTCTAGAGAAATTGAAAGGAAGAGAATTATACATGTTAGTGCTCTTTTTTTGTTGTTCAAAGAGGGGAAGCCAGTGTATGTGTTTCCAGGAAGGGAGGCTAGTGTATGAGTTTATTAGTAAGGATATTTTATCTCACAGATAATGTAATCATAGAAAAATGTATTTTTAGATAGTCCTTTATTTCTGGTGTTTTTTTTTTTTTCATAAATTCAGAAATGGTTAGTTTGGTTGCCACTAAGGAGTCTCAGGATAATGTTTCAAACACATGCATGTTATTTTTCATATTATTTATTTATTTTATTTTCGAGACAGAGTCTCACTCTGTTGCCCAGGCTGGAGTGCAGTGGCATGATCTTGGCTCAGTGAAACCTCTGCCTCCCAGGTTCAAGCAATTTTCTTGCCTCAGCCTCCTGAGTAGCTGGAATTACAGACACCCATTAAAAACAATTGATTGAGAGTTATTAAAAGTATTACACTCTGCTAATTATCCCTCAAACCCATTTTACTAGTCTACTTTTTTAGTAAAAAGTTTGATTGTAGAAGAGGAACTCACCAAACAGCTGGAAGCCACTTTTCTTAGCTTTCATGCTGTCAGCTGTGGTTTCTGACTAAGGTCTGTTTTGTCACTGTGAGTGCAAGAGTGTGAACAACTTCTGGACGACATCCTAATGAGCACTAGCTTGTGCTCTACTTTCTCTATCTTGTCCCACAGGCCAGACAGCAAAAATTGTGGGTATGATTCCACTACAGCAATGCAGGCAAGGAACACTGGGGGATAGCAGAAAAGAAGGTAGAAGAAATTCCAAGTTTTATTATTCACTGCCATTTTTGTAGTTTTCCTACTACAATAGATTTATCTGTGATTTAACCTAGTGGCTTTGTATGTGTTGGTATGTGAAGACTATTTAAAGAGTATTCAAGCATGGACAGATTTAAGGAAATTAATTTTCAACCCTTTAAGCTTTCAAATATACTCTTTAAAAACATGATTTGCCTGAGAATATGTTTGAATTACCAAGAGCTCTTCTTCAGTTTTGCAAAAGAAAAGCACATCCTATCAGCATCCCTGCTCTTAAGTCAGTGTGAATCTCTTGCTATGGAAACCCCCATGGTATCAATATAAAAATGGGAAGTTTTCTTTAGTGATTGATAAAGAAACCGGGCCGGTGGCTCACGCCTGTAATCCCAGCACTTTGGGAGGCCGAGACGGGCGGATCACAAGGTCAGGAGATCGAGACCATCCTGGCGAACACGGTGAAACCCTGTCTCTACTAAAAAATACAAAAAACTAGCCAGGCGAGGTGGCGGGCGCCTGTAGTCCCAGCTACTCGGGAGGCTGAGGCAGGAGAATGGCGTAAACCCGGGAGGCGGAGCTTGTAGTGAGCCGAGTTCGTGCCACTGCACTCCAGCCTGGGCGACAGAGCAAAGACTCCGTCTCAAAAAAAAAAAAAAAAAACAAACCATAAACTCACAGGACTTCCTGTACTCCCTTGCCATAACCATAATTAAGTACCTCAAATAAATGGAGAAATCCAGATTCAAACTCAGCCAGTTAGTACTAGTGCCTATTCTCTTAATCACAGGACAAGGACTCCAAAAAGGCAAGTCTCAAAGACAAAGCCATTACACACAAACCTCTGCTCACTGATACTCTGTACTTCGGTTCTGAGCCCCATCAACAATCATCCTCAAGGTGCAAAGGCTGATTTGGGTGAGGCAGGAAGAGTATTAATTGAGTCCCACTGGAGTTCAAGACTAAAATTAAAATAACAATCAAAAATAAAAATTAATGGAAAATTACTATATGCCAAGCACTAGGCAAAGCCATTTACAAGGATTGACAAAAATGCTGTGAGAAGGATATTACAATCCTCAGTTTATACATGAATAGGTCACAGAAAGGTGAAGCAATTATTTTAAATGTAGCATCAGAAGTAGGTGGCTAAGTAATTGTTCAAATCAACTCAGTTTGATGGGTGTTAATATATTTTTATCTAATCTAAGACATAAAATGTAGTAGCATCCCTAAAAAATACATATCAGTAAGATTCAGTATAGATTACACTTCTCCAAACTTTATATTCTGTGAAATATAATTCTGTTATATTCTGTGAAATTTATATTCTGTTCTCTCCAAACTATATTCTGTGAAAGGCCATATACTTTGTTAAGCAAATAAACCTTTTATGATTACTAAAATATCACAGAAAAACATACAATATTAATGTTAAAAATGCTGATACTGTGTATATTGACAATGATAGGTATTTTATTTTCATGCCTGTAATAATTAAAGTAGTCATAGTGGATGGGCTGTCTACTTAAATACTAGTTTTCTGTGAAAATCCATGTTGCTATGAATCCTCATTTAAAGTCATGTGTTGCTTAATGATGGGGATATATTTTGAGAAATGTATTGTTAGATAACTTTTTCTTCGCTGTGTGAATATTGTAGTGAAGTACAAACCTAGATGGTATAGCTCACTACATTGCTAGGCTATATGCTGTAGTCTGTTGCTCCTCAGCTACACACCTATACAGCATGGCACTGTACTGAATACTACAGGCAACTGTAACAAAATGGGAGTTATTTGGGTATCAAAACATAGATAAAGTACAGTACAAATAAAGAATAAAAGATAAATAATGGTACAACTGTGTAGAACACTTACAATGAATGGAGGTTCCAGAACTGAAGTTGCTCCGGTGAGTCACCAAGTGAGTGGTGAGTGAATGTGAAAGCTTAGGACATCACTGCACACTGCTGTAGACTTTAAACACTGTACACTTAGGCTACACTAAATTTATTTAAATTTTTTTCTTTCTTTGATAATAAATTAATATTAGCTTACTGTAACTTTTTTACTTTGTAAATGTTTCATTTTTAAACTTTTGATTATTATAATATTTAGTTTAAAATACAAACACATTGTACAGCTGTGCAAAACATTTTGTATTTTTATTTTATATGTCTTTTCCTATTTTAAAATTTTTTGGCATTTTAATGTTTTTCTATAAAAACTAAGACACAGCACAAACATTAGTCTAGGCCTACACAGGGTCAAGATCATCAATATCACTGTTTTCCACCTCTCCATCTTGTCCTACTGGAAGGTCTTCAAGGACAGTATCGTACATGGAATTGTCATCTTCTATAACAATGTCTTCTTCTGAAATACCTTTTGAAGGATCTGCCCAAGGCTGTTTTACAGTTAACTTTGTTTAAATAAATAAGTAGTAGGAGGGCACTCTAAAATAATAATGAAATATATAGTATACTAAATAAATAAATTGGTAACATAGTCATTTAGACAATAGTAATTTTTCAGCTCCATTATAATCTTCTGGTACCACCATTGTATATGTTGTTCAGTGTTGATTGAAACACGTGGCACATTACTGTATGTTATTTTATTAATAGTAGTATTGGTGAATGGAGGTTCTCTGTGGTGATTTTATTAAGAAAATTTGTTTTTACTCTGGAAAATAGTTGCCTTTAATCTGGGAAATTCCTAGTTGGGGAATAGTCATGTTTACAAGGCTTGGAAAGGGAGAAAACAGATTAGAAAATAATTTTAATCAAAGCCCTGGTGGAAGGGTTCCTACATGTTGCAATACACCCAAAGAGACTTAAAAAAGTTTTAATCAACTTGAACAGAGAAGTGGTGAATGAGCCACATGCAGGAGGTAGTTCACCTGAATCACATGCATTAAATACACCCCAGAATGTGTGGAGGGCCCCACTGTGTTTGCATAGTAGCTAGGATGGAAGAGAGATAAGCTCTTAATTCAGAAGTATTCTTAGCCTTCTTTCTTTCCTATTAGCTAAATGTAATTTATTCATTGCCTGCTAAACTTCTCCCTTTTCCCTCTATGTGCAAATAATTCTAACTTGGAGAATGTACATGTTTGGCATCATAGGTAAAAAGAGAAAACTCTTTCTTCTCCTCTTTAGTGTTTTCTTTCTCTTTCTTTTTCTGTGTCCATTTAGTAGTTCCTTTTCCTGAATAATTTCTATTAATTTATTCTGTGGGGTCAAACAAGACAGATAATTGCACAGGGATCAGAGATAAGAGTAAGAGCTGAAATGATGAGGATGGAGTCCACACAGGAACAGAGCCAGGACTGGTGTAATAAAGCTCACATAGAGACAATCAGATATTATGTAGGAGGGCTTTCTGTGGAGCGAGGAGGGTGCCAATACTGGAGTAAGGGTGACCTAGATCAGAGTTTCAAAGCATGTGCAGCCTGAGGGGATAATCGTGTATGAGGTAAGAGCAATGTTAGCTGCCCAGCCCAACTGTGAAGGGGACACCTCCATAAAGAAGACCGTAGCAGTGACCATGTGAGGTTAAATACAGAATGTTTGATCAAATAAGTGAATATATTAAGGATCATGGAAACCAGGGTTTCACTGTCAGAGAAGGATTATGCATAATTAATTGGACAGGAAGAAAACCATAATGAAATCGACTGTTTTTAATATTGAAATTTGAGGTGTCTCTACATGCTTAAGATTTTCAATAGATGAGTGTGTGTTCATGACATCACAATATAGATGATAGAATATCCTGTATTATTATATATTATATATTGTATTATATTTTTCCTACATCAGTCCTCTAGAAGGCCCAAGGACAGTGACAGTTTGACAGCTTAAAATAAATGGACACATCTATCTTGGTTTCTAAATACCAATCTCCACTAAAAGGAACTCATGCTCTAGGAAAAATGGCTGATTCCAGGGTTGTGACACATAAATTATTAGATAAGCTTAAACTGTTTTTTTTTTTTAGCTAGAAAATAAGTAAGTTCTCAAAGAATGATTGGAAGGTGAACATGAAATCAAGCTTGAAGGAATTTGCACTGGCACAGGCATGAATGCAAAAACACCTAAGTAATGTTGAATAAAGTATGACACCATGAGCCCAAGCTCTAATTAATAAATAAATGAATTGAAAAATTGGTGAGTTACAATGTAGTTCTACAGTTTTAAGCAATTTTTAAAATGAAATATGTATTTATAGTGGAGAAAAGTAGTCTATCTTACCAAAGTAAATATTATCAGTTATGGAACAAGTTAAAATTGGGTGCTGCTACGATGCAAGGTGAATAACACAGTATCTCTTCTATGACATTCCTACAAAACATGCACAACCTGAATGTGCTCATCAACAAACATCAGACAAAACCAAATTCATGGACATTTTAGATTGATTAATGTGACATAATGCCAGCAACTTACACTAAAATGGTTTTATGGCGGAAAAAATTCTTTGTATTCTACTTTTAGTGTTTCTGTAAGTGTTAGATTATTTCAAATTAAAAGTAAAATTGCTTTAACAAAAAAATAATAAAATTGGAGAAGTGACAGTGTGGGATTTGCTGATTAAAAACAATGTAATTTTAAATAAAGGGTGAACAGAAAATGAAGGAATGGTAGAACGGAGAGATGTTAAATGTAGCAGTACTACAATTTAGAAAAATTTTGTTTTGAAGATAAAATCAAAGAACAGGGTTTTTGGTCTTTCACTCTCATTTAGATAGAGAATATTAAGAGTTGTAGAGATCCTGAGAACATGAATTTCTGTACATTAACAATATATTCCTATCTTAGAAAATTTTCAAGGATCTAAGCAAACATCAGAATTGCTTTGAAAAATATCTTTCTGTGTTCCAACTACATAAAGAAGTGAATCTGACTGAATCAAGGTTTCTTCTAATTCTATTAGTTCTTTACTTATGGTATTCTGAAGGGAATAGACATTTTCCACATTTGAATCCTGAAAATTTTGATTGTATCAGTCTGTTAAATATTATTTGATCTGAAAATTTTTAATGAGTACAGCAGAAAGCAGTCTTAATAATGATACTTTGACGCCTGAGAATAAAAATGTGTCCTGAAAAAGGTTTTAATATATGTCATGTCTTATTTATTCATTTGTTTTTAATCTATTTTTATTTTGTATGTTACAGGTTGAGCGTTCCTAATTCAAAATCTGAAATCTGAAATCTGAAATGCTCCAAACTCTGACACTTTTTGAATGCTGACATGACACCACAAGTTGAAAATTCCACATGTAAGTACTTAATACAAACTGAGTTTTATGCACAATGTTGCCAGAAATTACCTTCAGGCTATGTGTATAAGCTATATATAAAACATAAATAATTTTTTGTTTAGAATTGGTTGACATGCCCAATATAGCCCATTATATATATTCCAAAATCTGAAAAAAGAATGGAAATTCAAAACATTTCTGATTTTGGATAAGGAATACTCAACCTGTATTAAAATAATTTTTCTTGTAGAAAGAATGCTAATATTTACATGTTTACTTACTTGGGCATTTTAATTAAGCAGTTAAATTTATGCATTTGTTCATAAAAATTAAGACCACATAAAATGTTTAAGGAAAAAGCTATTAATATTTATACTGCAGGATAACGACAGAGGATGACTAGATAGGTTATACATAGGTAAAGATTAAGATAGCAATATAATAGATCTCCATATAGCTAGACATATTTAGATGTGGAAGAGTGGTAAAAAAAAAAAAAAAAAGCAAACAATCTAGACTTAATAAGTTAAAACTCTGCTTCAAGTATTTTGCAAGGAGTCCACTACTTCTGCACTCATTTAATTCTCACACCTCTCATGTCAGAAATTAATGAACTTAATTTAAGGAAAATAGTAGTAAGAAGCTAAATGAATTTCTCAATTGCCAGAGGTTTTACTGGTATGTAGCAGTCTT